TAAACTGGGGCCTAAAGTTAAGGGGGGTTAGGTTTAGTTAAGAGCACAGAAAAAATTATGTTTCTTACTAACAAAAATTTAGAATATACTATTAAATAGTTGAAAAGCTAGGTAGGTTGTTGAAAACGGTGATTTTTGACCAGTGTGTATTGTCAGTTTGACATATAGTTATTTTAACTGAATTTTATTGTTATAAAAATTGGTCTTGTAATTTTAGTATGATTGGGATTTATAATTTTATGTTTGTAATTCATAATTTTAGCTTGAATTTTTTATTTAATTATTCTCGTTATTTAAGCCTTAAAAGCTAAGGTTTTTGTTATTTTAAATAGTTGTTATTTAGGCTTTTGAAAAGCTACGTAGGTTCTGTTGACATTTAATTTCGCAGTCATTATCTTTGTATTGAATTTTGTTGGTACTATTCAAATTTATATTTGCCAGTCACAATAATATAGTTAAGATGTCTGAAAAAGTTTTCTATGCAGTTTGTTTGAAATATAGTTTGGAGTATGTTGAGACCCTTTCATTGAAACAACTTTAAATTTAGCTACTTCACTTTAAGTACATTTTATTGTTGGGTGAATGTGTGTGTACTTTGGTATGTAAGCAGTGTCCATGCGTCGGAAACTTTTTCCTGTAGCGAGTCAAACAAACAAGCAGTGCATGATGCGGGCAGAATTACGTGGTAGATAGTTGAAACCTAAAAGTTAGACCGTCATTTCGAGAAACTTAACGAACTTCAAATTCTAACTTTATCAAAGTGCACGACCAAAATACGATTCTCCCCTCTAACTCAAAAGATAGAGCAAAGTCTAACAAATTGAAAATAAATTGTTTAAAAAATTACAAATATGAAATGTATCTTTAAAAAAGTGACCTTTTAAAAAATTTGGATTGACTTGCTATTATTTATGGTGTATAAATTTTTAACAAAGACATGATTTATTACATTATATTAGCATATTTTGCTTTTTATTATGGTATTAATCAATTTTAATAATGTATCCCCTTGCATAATGTAGAAGGTATAAATAACCTTTTTTACAATAACATCCCCAGGGATCACATAAAAGTAAGTTTTTGTTAAAAAAACAACACAAAATGTTTTAAATTAGAATATAAATCAAAATTCGAAAGAGCGTGATCATTTGGCAGCTCACATTGTCTAGTAATTAGAAAGTTAAAAAGAAGCTGCTTTTCTTCAGTGAAAAACTTGGAAAGTCTTAAACTAAAATTAATATTTAATGTGCTCCGATGCCTTGTAAAACCAGTTAGCTAACAAACTTAATAAACTTAATATAACTGCGGTAGGTGGTTTTCGAAATTGAAATTCAATTAAACACTAAAAAGAAAAAGCACGGCTGTAAATCAAGTCCGGAATTGCCCTTACGGGCGCGTAATAAACCATATTTTTATTTTAAAATTGTAAAAACTTTAACAAAGTACCTCTTTAAAACCTTTAAAACAGAGAATAGTGTAACAAAGTTATTTAATCTATTATTTTGTTTTCTTACTCGAAATTTGATGTACAAAATTTGGGGGTTTAAGTAAATTCTAGGGACCCTAAATTTATTATTGGCTACATTGAGCAAAACAAACTAGTTTAAAAAAGAATATAATAGTGGTTATGTTATAATTATAAGAATAGGTTTATAAATTTTTAAATGCCAAATATAAGCTCTTAAAAAGGGCTTAAACAGAAGTACCAATTTTAAATATTAAAAATACCAAAGTATAATCGAATATGTCAAATTCAATATTAAAAAAATAAAATATACACTGAGAAAAAAGTTTATGGTTCCCAAATAAAAAGAATAATTAAATATGGGACAAGCATTGTTTATTTATTTATCCTAAATATATTTTTATTCCTGATACATAAAGTTTTACTAAAGTAAATTTATCGTTATTATTTCGACTATAAACAATATATTCACTATTAATAAAAAGTATTAGCTACACAGTTTATTTGTCCCATTTTTTCTCAGTGTGGGTTATTTTCTTTTTCTTTAAAAAATAAAAAAGGTTTACTTAAAATTATTTTTATTTTTATGTTAATATCAGCTACCTGATTAATCCTTTCCTCCTTTGTAGCATTGAAAATTATTTCATCAAAATGCTGTTTTGTTTTTAAAATTGCCTTTCGTTTAGAATTTTCGGCATTATATAAAAGGATGGCAAAATCTGTCAAATAAATTGTTTGAATGCACCTTAAATAGAAAAATGACACAATTAACAATAATAAATAACGTCAAAGTGTCATTTTTGTAATAACGGTGCATTCAAAGAAAATCTATAGCGGATTCTTTTACATATTCTTGCATCCCTGATTAAATAGGTATATTATATTTCTGTCAATTAAATGATACATGTCAAAGTATTTAAAATTAAGGCCTTGAACAGGAGTACCACTTTTAAATATTAAAAAAACCAAAGCATATTTACATAATTAAATGTCAAACTTCAAATAAAAAACTGAATCATGCTTATTAAAATTTAAGGGGTTGTAACTACTGCGGGGTGAAGCGATTTGCAAGCGAAACATATTAAAAATAATCTTCTCCTTAAAATTGAAGTTGACGTGTTTTTGCGATTTTTAGAGATGAATTTTAACTTATGGCCATAAATATGCGAACTAGAAATATATTTCTAAAAATATAGTTTAGATCACTCCTCAGGGTCGGACATATGCCCGGGCAATTCGGTGCGGTGCCCGGGGGCCCCGATCATATAGGGGCCCTTATACATCAGGAGAATTGCTTAATAATAAAATAAAAATTATTACTACATTGCATGCCTACTAAAATATTGACAACCAGGCAACATGGCTTCCACTACAGGTAAGTTGCGGCAACGGCGCGTTCTCTGCTCTGGGACTCTTCCCTAGTGAAAAAGATATTACAAAAATGTCATCCCTTACCAAATTAACATTATTTTGATATCACTGTCCTGATATATCAGGAAATTTATATGAAAATGATATTAAAATAATATATATTTTATATATCCAAAAATATATGTTAAAATGACATTTATTCTATGTAAAAATTACATCAGTATAATACGTCATTTTAACATTTATGTGGTATGTCATTATGATGTCAGATAAATATTTATATTTTAAGAAGGGCATTCACCGTTACTCGGTAATTTTTCTTCCGCCCCACAGTGTTTCAATTCTCGAAATTTTTTAAAAAATATCAAGGAGTAGTCTATTCTCCTAAAAATCCGTATGTAGAGGTTTTTAAGGACGCTGATAACGAATCTGGAATCAGAATTCCAAAATTCAAAATAGTAGATCCAAAATGGCGGACATATTTGTCAAAAAATTGATAGAATAAATTGAAAATCACCATACAGAGTTTTTGGGATCGCTGATAACGAATCTGAAATCAGAATTCCAAAATTCAAAATGGTAGATCCAAAATGGCGGACATATTTGTACAAAAAATTGACGGAATTAATTGAAAATCACCAAAAAGTTTTTGTGGTCGCTGATAATGAATCTGAAATCAGAATTCCAAAATTCAAAATGGTGGACCTCAAATGGCGGACATTTTTATTAAATATTGTCGAAATTAATTAATAACCCGTAAGAGGTTATTTTTAAAATGTAATAAAACATCTTTTTATAAAATAGCTTAATTTACATTACATTATATGATATTATTTAATACCTACATATATATTAAACAATCTCCGTCACTGGATTCGCTGGTTGTATGGAGCATGGGAAACCATCAGAAGATAGCAACAGTTTTATTGCTTCGCGGGACAAAGATTTGCTCTTTTTCGGAGCAAATTTTCTGAAGGTAGAAATATACAGATCGAAAGATGCCATAAGCCAATGGAAAACATCTTCCATCGTTTTCTCCCGAGAAACTTTTAAAATTTATTTATAAAATTTAAATATAACAGAATTTATACTAAGTATTTTAAATTTGTATTATTTCTTTTACTTAATATTTTAGCAACGATTTCTTAATTCGCTAAAAAAATTGTCAACACAAATAACCACTATTCAAATTTGACATTAACACACTACAATGCGCATGCGGAGTTGTTTTAACGCACCTACAAGAGGTGGGTTAAATATGTAAAATCATTGTTAAATATCTTAGTAGTCACGAACGATTTACGCAAGTGAAAGTCTAAACACCGCTGTTGTAATAAACGATTTGAGTTAAATCCGAGTAAATCGAGTAAACGTCATGAACGCAACCCAGAAATAAAAAAAAATCTTATATTTTGTAAAGCAAAAACACAGATACGCGCGCGACAAAGGCTTAAAATCGCGAGGTTTTTTACCACAACCGTGCCTGACCGCCCAAGAGCATGTAGTTTTAAAGAGCCGGGGGCGAGTTGGGGCAGATAATTTATTGATGGCTTGATAGACAAAACTCTAAGCTATTCAACGGATCTTGAACTGATACCTTACAATTCATTACAATTTTTGTAGCTCCATTGTTCTAAAAGCTCGATTCAAAGTTTGCGATTTTAACAGACCGATCTTGTCGATTACAATAACCAGTTGTACAAGCAAAATCTAGAAAGAAGATCAACCTTCATCAAACACACCAAACACAAGTTATTCACTTTTAAACAATAAACAATTTTCGGCAGCGTTCGCGTGTAAAGTACCTTTAACTGAAAGCGTTAAGTTTAAACTGATGTACAAGACAAATATACGTATTTTATATAATTTTTTTTCAATACAGGATGGAGACCGGTATTAACTACCCATCTAACATCAAAATTTTCCGATATTTTCGAGAATGGAAACACTGTGCGTCCGTCAATTTTGGTTGACTGCCTTAAAATTCAAATTTTGCAAAATAAAATTAACCAATTACAAACTCATATTAACAAATCTTTTTTTTATAACAGTGTACGCAATTTTTCTTTGATTTAATTGATTTTTAAACTTGTATACCTGTTGTTTCAAAATTGTTATAATTGTTATAATCAAGGTTTTGAATTGGATCATTTGTTTCAGGATAATGGATTTTAGAAGGGCGATGCCTGTCACAGGCCGAACGGTAAACATAACAGCCGATCTCTACGAAAAAGCGGACGGCGATCTGTTGACCACCTTCTTTATCTCGCCAAGCGACAATCTCTGCTTCCACGGCAAGTGTTCGTACTATTGCGACACATCGCACGCCATTTGCGGCAACCCCGACCTGTTGGAAGGCAGCTTCGCTGCTTTCCTACCCAGCAGCAAGATTGCCCCCACCAAGGTGAGTAAATAGCAATTTTCTCCAGGGGTTTTATAAAGATTCTTGAATATTTCATTTTGTCAAGAACCTTGCTTTACTTTTGCCCGATAGTGTAGAAGAATGTCGCATTGATTTGGGTGAGAGTTAAGCTTTACACCCAGTAGTACAATTATCAAATGTTTATATAAAAAACAATGTTGCGTTAACGTAAGTGAGAGGTATGATGTAGTTTCGGTCAACAGTGTATACAGGGTGTTATGTAATTAATGTTATATATTAAAATACTGAATACCTTTTGACATAAGGAATAAAGGAAAAATATTTTAAAAAGCATTTTTCCAAAGATAAAGAAAAAATATGCGTTAGAAGTTTTTTATATTTTTTGTGATACGCCACTGGTTACACACTTGTTTATCTCTGCACACCTGTATTTTGTGAGTACATAGATACCAACCAACAAAGTAGCTATGCGTTGCCAGATGTAAAAAATTAATACTAAAAATTTTTCTTGCAAAAAATAAATAAAAACTTAATAAATACAAAAGTTTTATGCCCTTAAAGCTCTAATACCCTTCTGTATTTATTTACTGATCCAGCTATTAGCTTAAGCAATGATTAGAAAATTTAGTACCTTTGAAATTTGAAATCCATAACCACAAAATAAATTTTTTCATCAGTTTTTTTCTCTGTTTACTCAGATGAAATTGGGACCAGTTCACAGGTTAAACTTTAAACATTTAATTTGTGTAAATAAATCCAAAAGCACTTCCCTTAGTTAAGATATTAACAATTTGAAAACATAACCTAAAATTTAAAAGAAATGCACTAGATTCTGTCATAAAAGTTGGCAGATTTTGTTTGAATTTACCTTAAGTACAAAAATGAAATAACCAACAATTAATAAAAACGCCAAATTGACAATTTGCATTGTTAATTTTGTCATTTTTGTAATTAAGCTAAATTTAAACAATGTTTGTCAACTTTTTTGAGAGATTTTGGAAAAACTGTTGTTACCAACCATAACATAATAAATCCACCAGATTAACCTAAAGTTCCTAGTGGATCAGTGGCGTACTTTTTGGTAGGATAAAGGTTATTATAAATTATTTTTAGACTTTGGAATTTAGAAAGTTTCAGGTGCTTCTTTATGGACCCTAAGGAACAACCCATTTTTATATCTAACATTAATTACATAACACCCTGTAGTTCCGCGAATCCCAATGTTTATAATTGGACTAAAGCAGGGATAGGTTCTTGCAGCGTACTAACCAACCAAGCCCCATTCATGAACCCCGAATGTTTTCCTCCTTGCGGGACTCCACTAGCCTTAATTTGGGCGTATGCCCCGGCCAGGCGACAATTCCGGGAAGGGCCTTAACCACCGAAACTGTCATCCACGATATCTAAGTGAAATTTAGCAGCCGAGGTGAATATTTGTATCCATCAAACCCAGATAATGCTCTGCAGTATACGGATGAGAACTAAAAGATGGAAAAAAAATTGTCAAATTTATATTCTGGTAGATAGACGAAATGCGACTTTTACTGCCACCTGTGGGACGCTTTGTGACTTACTTATCGATAATTAATAAATTAAATACCTTTGAATTTTAGCTTGATACAGCTAAACCGATCACGGATTTGTACCAAAACTTAACTATCCGTATACGAGGTGTGTTCAGAAAATATCGGAAATTTTCGTTTTTTGAAACAAATATTTATTTATTCGTTTACATTAATGTGGAGATAGTCTCCATTGGATAATATGCACATATGCCAGCTCTTCTTCCAATACTCGAAACACTTCTAAAACTCGATCTTTGGGACATCCTTTAGTTCTTTCAGCGATGCGCTTTTAATGTCATCTATGCTTGCAAAACGACGGCCCTTTAAGGTTCTCTTTATTTTTGGGAATAGGAAAAAGTCAAACAGAGGCATGTCTGGCGAATATGGAGGCTGGGGCATCATTACAGTATTGTTTTTGGCCAAAAATGTTGTTCAAAATTTAACAATTTTAGAACAAATTTTGCTGCCACGCGTTTCATACCCGAAACATTAGAAAAAATTTCATGGGATGAGCCAATCGATATACAAACATCATCAGGGACTTCTCTGATGGTTTATAACCATTTCTTCCACTTTTTCCATTTTTTTATAGGTTGTTAATGTGCTTGTGCGTTCGGGGCGTTCGTCATCTTCAACGTCTTCACGGCCATCTTGGAAACTCTTATACCACTTGTAAACTCTTGTTTTACTTATAGCAGACTCACTATAGGCCTTTGTTAACATTTCACAGAATTTATTTAATTTTTTAAGCCAAATTGGATACAAATTCTTTAATACATTTCTTTTAACGAACGAAAAATCGCCGAGCTCATAAAACACGTCTAACCTTAGCGGCTGCCACAGACAAAGTAAACAATGAAAACAGCTAAAGTTTTTATCATACATCGGGGGCATGTATACCAACATAATAAAGAAAATTTTATGACAACCGGACCCTCTGAACCCGCGAAATTTAACAATTCCCGTTATTTTCTGAACACACCTCGTACGTGTGGTGTGATATTTTAAAAGTTGAAAACTTACTTGCTTACCTATAAAAGTTTATACCGCCTTTGAATCGAAAGAAAAATACATCTTCAAACTCTTTATTAAATATTAAACAAGTAATTAATTTATTTACTCTGCACAATATTATTTTTTACGATTTCGAAACTTAAAAAAATGGCGAATGCGCCGGGATAATTCTCAACATATTTCGTATAATTAAATAGGTACCTATCTAATGAATATAATGAAAATCCGTTAAAGTTAATAAAATTGTGTGTTAATTATCTTTAATCCTTAAAAAATCCTTAAAATCTTATTTTAACAGATTTGGATCCAACTAATGAGTTCTTTAAGAATTTAAGAAAACTTTTAATTAAAAGTTCCTAAAGGGTGCAATTAACGATTTTTTATTAACACGAACATACAAATTAAAATTATAATTTAAGGACGTCAAGTTTTTATACATTGATTACAGTAAAATTTAATTAAATCTGCAAATTATCGCAAAAAATATAAAAAAGTTTTGCCACCTTTAAAACGCCCATTATAATTATCGTAAACGTTGCCATGACACTGAGTGATGTTTTAAATATGTACACTAGACTAGTTCAAAAAAATCGAATATTTTTTTTTCTTCAAAGCTTGCATTGAAATTTCTTCCTAGTAGTGAAAAAAAAAGCCTGTGAAAATTGTAGCCCTTAATATTAATATTTAGTGAATTTCTATTTTACGTTTAAATAACACAGAAATTATTTTTTCTTAACTTTGAAATTTTATAACTCGTTTTTGAGTGAACATATTGGAATAAGCGACACATATTTTTAAAGAAAATTGAACGCTCTACAAAAAATGTTTCTTATAATTTTTTCATAAATTCACTTCTTTTATAGTTATTCAAGGTTGAAATTAGACATATAATAAATTTAACGTTTTAACTATATTACATTGTGTGCCAAATTAATTTTGTGGTTTAAAAGTTATGAAGAGAAAACTATTTTTTTTGTAAACTTTGACAGCCTGTATTTCTCTTAGGAAACATTTTTAAGAAATGTTTTTTTATGAAAGTCTACCTTTTTTGATGCTTTATCACCTATTAAAATTAATGTATTACAAACTGGACCATCCTGTACAATAATGAGTGATAAGGTTTATTATTATGCCACCAATTGAAAAAAAACGTTAAATTTATTATATGTCTAATGTACACATTATTTAACTGTGACTTCATGGTGCTTTAGTCACGGGCTAAAGTTAGCTTTAAGGTAGTTGACAGTTGTCAAATGTCATACAATCGTCAAAATAAGGAAATAATCCTAAAATGTAAAAATTATTTCATTATCTCAATACAAAATTGTTTTATTGTTTTTGTACTATTTAATGCATATTTTTTATTAAAATGTATAAACAAATATAATAGTAATTATTAAATCTATTAACTGAAGCTTAAAAATAAAACCATACATGTCGCTAAACGTATTAGTTATTTTTTTTTCACTAAAAACGTGACAGGATTTGTTGTGTTGTTGGGTGTTTTTTAAGAGGAAATCCGGAGTTGAGTTTTTACCGGTTTCCCAATAAACTGTGGGAATCAGAATGAAAAAATGAATATCAATTGTATCTAATTAATACAATTAATACACATTTATTTACGAAAGTTGAAAACATTATTTTCAGTTATAATCGTAAAACAAATAACTCGTTTAAATGGTAGTAAAAGCGTTGATTAAGAAAGTTTTTACTCAACGATTAAAGACAAAAAACAGGTATTAAATTATGTATTTAATGTAATATTGTGTTGCCATAAACTCGTAGATATATTTTGTAGGGTGGGTTGAAAACAAAATGTTTGTTTTTTTTCTTATAAAAAAAGGAAATTTTTCAAAATAAAAAAAAAATTTTTACTCAACAAATGGGGTAGTTCCAACGCGAAATTCTTTTTTTGGTCCAAAATCGTGGAAAGAAAGTAAAAATTGTAGATTGTAATTTTTTTTCACTCAAGTTTCATTCTAATACAAAAGAAAGTGCATTTAATTTTTTAATTTTTTACTTAAATTAAAAAAACAATGGGAAAAAAACTTTTTCAACTTTTGACTTCCAATTGGCTTTTAAGGGAACACCCTACAGATTCTAGAACGAAAAAAAGAATTTCCCGTTGGAACTACCCCATTTGATTAAATATTTATTTAAAAAACGAGTGGGCCACCTCAAGATGTTTTTTTGAAAAATTTTCTTTTTTTATAAGGTACAAATTCTACCCCCATGCTAAGAATAAAAAACAAACATTTTGTTTTCAACCCACCCTAATATTTTGACTTACTTTTAAAAAATAAAGTTGACGTTTGCATTAGAGGACTCAAATAAAAATGTTTGATTTTAAGGTTATGTTTGTATAACTTTTATTTTGTGTTAGATATCTTAAATATGTCCAAACTAAAATATAAATTATATTAGGTAAAGTTATCATTTGTTAATTCTGCACAAACAAATATACGTACCAAATTGGATTCTTTGGCAAAACATGAAAATACAACTTCGGATTAGTTTTGGAACATTTACAGTTTGAAACAACCATAAGTCACCCTGATCAGTTAGATAAAAAACATACACGAACTTAACTATATAAGCCTATAACGAATAATAAATCACAACCTAGTAGTATAATAAGCAATATTTTTAGTTTTTACTTGCAACAGAAACACAAATAACGTGCGCGGTTAAGCTGTGCAACTGCAACTTTGCGAACAAAATTGTGACACAGCTTATTTATTTAAAAAATGATAAGCAGTTCGTACGCTTTAAATACTTGAAATGTACCCTAAATTCCAATATATTAAAATTATTTAATAATTATAAATACTTAATATACAAAATGACAACATTTTTTGTGTGATCCTTTCTTTTTATAATAAGTTTATCTTACAATAAATTAACCTGTAATATAAGGCTTACTTAAAGTTATACATGTCGCCTATTAACATAATTTGTGACATTACGAATCATTAAATAACCAGAGAAGCTTTTGTTGTCAAAATAAAATAAATGGCCGATAAGAATCTCTAATTTTCACGCTCGCATTTCTTTAACACTTTTAACCGCAGCGAAATATTTTATTCCATTAGGAATCGCTTCTCATTACTTTTTACCTATTTCAAAGCCCTTCTCTTCTTTGTTATTTTATTATATCCTCGCTGCAGTGACTTATATTTTTTACCAAGGCAAGTATTACGAAAAACTTGTGTACATTTTTAAACGGGTAAATAGGTCTTAAGAAATTTCATTCTTCTTCAATAAATTCTTTGTTGGAACGGCAAAGTTATGATATTTTATTTTTCTAAGTTGCGCGCGATATTCTTTTATTAAACCATTTTTATTTCATATAAATTCTTTTATTGTCACCAAAAAACAATAGATATACAGGGTGAAAGAAGTTTTACAAGTAAACATTCAAATTTATCAACATTGAATTAGTTTTTACGCGTAATAGATTTTGAGTTACCATTATCATTTTTGGTTTTTTATGCAGTTTGACCCATTTGTTTTTAACTCACGCACAGTGGTCTGAGAGGTAAATTTACGCGGCCAAATTTATTCTTTAAATATTTTTCCCAAGGCGTGTGTTTTTTATGTTTTTAAGGGTGCTAAAATTACTTCTTAATATATAATTTTTTCAAAAATATTTGGTATTGAGGGGGCTAAGTTTAGCCAAATGATATAAAATGATTTTTTTTAATATTTGTGTATTTTTTGTTTTTTTATGTTTTATATTTAATAATTTATTTATTAAATAAATAAATGTTTATAGTTCGTACCAGGCGGCGATTGCAACATGGCGCAAGCATAATTTTTTATCATGAATAACCGAAAAACCATTACCTTCAAAGTATCAAAAATATATTATTATATCAACATTTTACATTTCACCATATTTCTTTTTAACAACCCTTTAGCCAATATCGTGATGGTTGACAATAGGAAAACTTATTATTTTTATTATGCGTTAAATACTCTTGCTTGTTTTAAAAATGAGATTCCTATAGAACAATAATTATTGTACTACCCTCTTAAAGCACTTTGCTTTTTTTTTATTTCCTGAGCACCCTGGACATTTAATTAAAAATGTTTGTTAGGAATCTCATTTTTATATACAAGCAGAAGTTTTTATGAAGAATGATTTTTTGCGATTCTGTTACGAATATCTCCACATTTCTCTCTTATTTTGATATAAAATTTTTTTTAAATTTCTGAGCCCCCTGTATATATAATTCATCTTTTCATAAAAGTCTTAATTTTTAACCATCAAATATTTTCAGAAAGAATTAATTTTTCCATAAAACGCACTTTTTTGGTTTTATTTTAGTTTTTGAGCACCCTGTACATTTAATTCAAAACGTTTGTGTAGGAATCTTATTTTTGAAACAAGCAAGAGTTTTTAAAAAACATGTTTTTTTTTCGTATACGAAAAAAAAACATGACAATAGACAATAGAAAAAAACTTTTTTATTAGGTATGATATATCATACCTAATAAAAAAGTTTTTTTCTATTGTCATTACCATCCGTGGCCACACTGTATAATATACAAAGTATATTAAAAAAATAATATTATGTAATAGGAGTAAAGAAAATTGTATTACCATTCTTAAATGCAATAATTATTGTCAAATTTAAAAAATATATTACTTTTATGACCAGGTTAGCGGTAATTTGTCGGCAATATTTCATTTTTGCATACCTCTCTTATAGGCGCATAAAGGCAGATGAATTTTTATAAAGTCGGAGCTGGAGGTTCATATTTTCGAATGCACTATGTGGTTCTGGGCAAGTAATTATAAATTTTTACTTATATTCCATTTATTATGTGTAATTAAAAAACTTGAGAATTTGTAGGTTTAAAACCGCTATATTTTTGGCAAAAAATCCAAAAAAGTCATTTTAAAGTTGTATTTGTACTCAACTTTATCCCTACTATAAATTGTTGACACTAATTTTCACTATTATATTTTCGCAACACCTTTTTTACACGAAAAAGACAAGATTCCGAAAGTAAGAATATTTTTGACAATCTCTATAACGCAACGCATACGCACTAAATTTTATCTCGCAGTTTAAAATCTTCGGTAATAATCTGTCACGAACAATAAAGAGGCATCAAAATGCGTTTTTAAGGTGTTTTAAAAATTGGATTTTTGCCGCATAAATTTGCCTCTCAGACCACTGTGCAGGGGTGAGTAGCAAAGAAATGGGTCACACTGTATATCCGCCATATTGTAATTTTACATGGTTAGATAGAAACAAAATCAAAGAATCCAACGATGTATCAAACTTAAAGTATAAATAAATAACATATGTTTTTATCAGACCTTGTTAATTGATTAATTATTAGGCATTTTTTTAAATAAATTTTTCTTTTAAACTGTAATGTAATTGTAATTTTTTTGAGCTGTTGACTGACAATTTAAGCAAAAATAGTCGTTTTTCTAATGTCCTCAATTTAATTTATATATTATAATATTTGACAATATTGCTGTATATAATATTTAAAGTATATTTTTTCTTAAAGGTGTGGCGACATCCGTGGCGTAGATCTTACCACAAAAGAAGGAAAGCCCAGTGGGAAACCGACCCGAACTATTGCACACTAGTGCGGGAAATCCATCCTTACGATAAAGGCCGCCGACTGCATGATCTGATGGACATGTCGATATTTGATTTTTTAATGGGGAACATGGACAGGCATCATTACGAAACGTTTAGGTAAACATGGACTTCTAGTTTTATCTACTCGTTTCAATTTTAATCTGTTTTTAATGATGGCAAAAAATGTCATGGGAAATAACAAAGGTTTATGGATTAAGATTAATGAACTTTTTTGTCTAGGTTTTTTTGTTGATGGTCAAGTATTTTTTTACCTAATTTTATATGACATTGTTCTCTTTTATCATTATAATGACTTTATGCATAAAGCAAAGTAAAGACATGTCAAGGCAACAAATTTGTGTTAAAAATAAGTTAATAAGATATATTGTCGTTTAAAAATTTGGATAATAAAAACTGAAAAATTTCCTAATAATATCTTAAAATTATTTTAAAATAATTTACTAAACCTGTCTAAAAATATTCAAAAACTTTTTAAAAATGATCTTTTTTATTTTTACATTTTTTAGCAATTAAAATGAGCCTTTAAAGCTTTATTCTCAGGAAAAATTTAAATTAACAAAACTGATTTAAAAATTTTTTTTAGGATGTTTGGAAACGATACATTTACTTTACATCTCGACCATGGAAGAGGATTCGGAAAACCTTTTCACGACGAATTGTCAATTTTGGCCCCACTTTTACAGTGTTGCATCATTAGGCAATCCACTTTAGAGACCCTGCTCAAGTAAGTACAGTTTTTTTAACAACACTGCTTTTAAATTAAGTTAAAGTATGTTAAAAGTGTCCAAAAGTGGTTTATTTAATATAATTATTAAAATTTTGCTTCTTTAAAATTTTACTTTTTTTCTACTCCAACCTTTAAAACGCAATGTAAATGTTTCCATGACACTAAGTGACATTTTAAATACACATTGACAAGTTGTGGCTTTATGGCGCTTTAGTCACGGGCTGAAGTTAGTTTTACGTTAGGTGAAAGTTGTCAAATGTCGTACAATCGTTAAAATAAAGTGCCTTTGTTGTAAAATAATACTAAAAGGGAAAATTATTTTATTATCTCAATATATACAAAAGTATTAAAGAGTTTTTTGACGCCAATATTTGAAAAGATTTTATGAACCTTTTGATTTCGCCGTAGTGGTGTAGTTAACTAGATTTAAGTGATAAAGCTTTAAAAATTATGCGTACCGTGCTTATGAAACATTCTCTTCTCTTTTACTGTGAAAAACTGCTTCTATATTGATTGTTTGTTAGTCTATTTTCAAGGGATAAATACATCTGTCACTTTTTGTACCTTTAACGTTTTCCGTGTACAAAATTTAAATACTTTGTGGTAAGATTTTGCAATTATAGTAATAAAAAAATCAAGTTTAATTAAAATAATAGCGGGCAATGTTAATAGTGAAAATTACATCAAAAATGTTTATTGGGATAGTTATTTTATTTTCGTATAAATATCGCTTTAATAAATTATACAAATTCGTAATTTAAATATTTTTTTAGATAATAGTATGTATTTGCAACTCGTTTATAAACTTTTCTAGGCACTCATTTAATTAAACACTCGTTTATCACACTTGATACATAATATACTCTTAAAGTATATTGTAGTTTTATTTTTAAAAATTATACAAATAAAATATTTAAGCATATGGGCAATTCCTTAGAAATCGGAAATGGCAATCAAAATAGTATATTAATTAAAGACATGGGCTGTATATCTTGTAATATGACAATAAGAAATCGATAATTTTTTTCTCGTATGCACTTACTCGTATACCTGTTGAATTGGCATATATATTTTTGTCACAAAAAAGTTTAGCAATAATAAACGATAACATCCCGTGTAGTCTAATTTAATTTAACTTTAATACTCCAGACGGTTAATCTTTCTAAAATTTGTAAAATTCTTTTAAGTGGTCTGTAATGAGATACTTTATCCCACCCAAAATTTTGATTTTATAGGTTGGCTATACTTTAAACAGCATAATATTTTGCATATTGGTTATTATTTTCTATTTTCTAACAACCAATTTGGTTTTAGGAAAAATTTATCCACAACCAATGCCATTTTGGCTTTTACTAACGAGATCATAAACTGTTTTGAATACCAAGAATATTCACTGGCTACCTTCCTAGACCTAAGTAAGGCCTTTGATTGTGTCTCCCACATATTGTTATCAAGAAAACTCTATTTTTTTAACTTTCATCCCTCAAGTTGTCGTTTATTGTCATCAAATTTGGCACAGAGGACTCAATATGTTTCAATGGAAACCTCTTCTTCCAAAACCTTGTATATAGAAAGTGGGGTACCTCAAGGCTCCATATTGGGGCCTTTATTGTTTCTCATTTTTGTAAATTATTTGCCGAATTACTTGTCCTCAGCCAACAATGTTGTTCTGTTTCCTGATGATACATCTTTTGTAATAAGTGACAAACTATTTTCTACTGTTTTGCAACGAACCCAACAATTACAGACTCGTGCCTGTGACTGGTTTGCAGCAAACAAACTGTGTCTAAATATCGATAAAACGGTTGCTATGGTTTTTCCCCTTGTGATTTTGATCCACACAAGAAGTACGAGTTTCCTGGGTATATGTCTGGATTCGAAGTTATCATGGCAATATCATGGGGATCTGCTTGCGGAAAGGCTGTCAAAAAACATATTTTTGCTTCGCAATCTCTCAAATAATTATTTAAAAAATTATAATTTATCCCAAAATTACCTAAGATGTGTTTATTTTTCCCTGATTGAGTCTTTATTGAGATACGGTATTTTGCTATGGGGTCATTCAAATGCTAGATTACGCATCTTTGGCCTGCAAAGAAGAGCTATCAGAATTGTTTCCTGTATTGGCTACCGTGAGGACTGTAGACCATTTTTAAAATCTTTAAAAATGTTAACACTACCTTGTCTTTATATATTGGAATGTTTGTTATATATAAAGAAAAACTTACATAGGTCCGACATTAAAATAGGTGTTAATAGACTTAGCAGGACTCAAACTGGAACTAACTATCATGGTATAAAATTTTTTAATTGTATTCCTCTAAAAATTAGAAGTTTAAATTACAATAGATTTAAAATAGTTATAAAAGAATATTTAATTTCCAAGGCATTTTACTCTCTGGATGAGTTTCTATCCAACAACTTTTGTGATTTAAATGTGTGATGTTTTATATTATTGTACTTTTTTATCTTAATCATTTTATAACAATTAATATGTCTACTTGTATTTTTATATATTTATATATTTGTATATTGTAATTTTCTATCCATCTGACCTGTGCAAGGATTTTGTATTTTTTGGCATTAATAAAATTATTATTATTATTATATTATTACTATTATTATTATTATATTTTTATGATTTTTCTAGTACTTTTCTGGCAATAAATTTTATTTAACACCCAAGAAAATCCTTCTTTTCTTCTTTAACATTAACAGCCGCTTATTGTAAATAAGTAAATTAGGTACGGCATGGCGAATCGATTTTGACTTTAACTGTCAAACCAATGACTGTGATACCAACTATCTAAAGTAAAATTCGGCCAAATTAAATTTAAGGTATAAAATTAATTTTTTTTATAAAATTTTTCAAAATAGGGAATTGTTTTAGAAATGCCTAAAGATGTAATAACAACTGTATAAAATACAAATTCGATTTAAAAACACTTAGAGCTGATATCTGAAAGTTTAAAACCAGTGAAAGCGTATTTAGTTTAAATAAAGGTTTTTATAAAACCATTTTGAAATATAAATTTTTAGTTAATCCTGCTTTTGTCCGTATTGCATATCGTATCATCGGAGTTTCGCTTGTAATTTCACCGAGAAGTTTAATTGATTTTATACCCTACAGAAGTAGACAGAACCACTCATCCTGTTATTCGACTAATTGACTTTCGAGCGAATTCGTTTTTACTACTTTTATTTCGCTATAAAATTAATCGCATCGGACATTTTTAATCAATTATTTTGTAATTTTTTTATTTATTGAATCACGTTTAATGAAGAACACGATTCAAAGGCGAGGGTGTGAAAACAAGGGATTGCAGTCATTTTAAATAATACCTTTAAAAACATAATTAACTTAATTAAAAACAATACAAAACTAAAGCTTGGGAAATACAAGCAAATGTGCGGTAATTCTTTTCTGTGCGCTGTATTCGCTGAATACGTGTTGTAAAAGGGTAGGTAGAGATAGGATAGTTCCATGTTATCTTAAACCATTTATTACGAGCTCAGGTTTCTTGTGTGCGGAATGTTTTAAACTAAAATTAAACAATGGTGTACGATAGGCTATAGTTCCTAGAGTATATTTTGTTGAAGGGGGCCCAAAAATATAATTTTTTTACTTCCACCTTTAAAACGCACATAATCGTTCATTTTTTCTATGAAACTAAGTGACTTTTTAAATACACATTGACAAGCTGTAGCTTTATGGCGCTTTTGTCACGGGCTGAAGTTAGCAACAAGTTTTTAGTCACAGGCTAAAGTTAATTTTAAGTTAGTAGACAGTTGTCAAATGTCATACAATCGTTATAATAAATTGCCTTTCTTGTAAAATAATACGAAATGTAAAAATTGTTTTATTATCTCAATACAAAAATACAAAAATATAAGTTACGTATTGAATTAATTAGCAAAAAGGTTAACAGAATTAAAGTGATTTTACACAAAAAATAATATAAATATGACATATGATATATTTTTGAAGTTTTACTGGAAAATATTTGAAATTTTTTGATTAGTGTTATTTTTGATCGCTGATTTCTTTGAAACGGTTGATCTGAACAACTTTGACCTTCAGATGTTTTTTTAGAGCGTGAAATTTCTTATAAATCTTCTAGCTTGGGTGTTGCGAAAACCAACCATTCCAAAGATATAAGAGTTCAAAATTAAAAAAAAAAAATGTCCCGTGATATTGAAATGGAAAAACCACAAATGAATTGAGGCAAACCTTAATATTAATATTAAGGGCTTAAATAGGCGCCAAAATTTTTGTTTTTTATTGTACTAGTTATTAATTTTTCAAAACTATTACAAGAAAAATATAATTGTTAGAGATCAAACAGTGCAGTTCACTGTTCACTTTGTGAAGATAATATATTTATTTATTTATTTAATACATTTATATATTTTATTTAGAATAGGATAACAAAAAATATTATTTTTTTGAAGGTTTCACGGTAATTAATAACCAGGAAATTAATTGTTGTATTTTTTTAATTTTTCGCAGAATATGCCATTTTTTTCTTAATCCTTAAATAACTTCTTAATTGAAAAGGTTATTACAGTAGAAGTTTGTTTAGGGTAACTTTTCAAAAATGTAATCAAAATTTAATACACAAAATTCAGTTTTTTTTTAGCATGTTTGATCGCATGTTTTAAATTTTCATATGTTGTAAAGATGGTATACCACTAATTCCAGAAAAAAAATCATCTCTACTTTCTAAGAAAAAAATTCTTGAACTTTTATGTAAATACTTTTTATCCAAAATCGGCAGTTAAGTAGTCAACAATCGGCAAAGGTAAAATAAATCGGCAGGAAAGTAGAACTAGGCGATAAAAAAATACGACTTACTGCCTTGATACATAAATAACTATTTTTTAAACTAAAGGTGACACATATAAAAATAATGTGACAGATGTCAAAAATATTCCTTAGCAGATGGGAAACAAAACATGTGTCACATAAAATTTCAAGAATTTTTGTCTCAGCTCCT